CCTCCAAGATCCCATTTGATTTGAGTTTGTACAGGGAATTTTGCTTTCACTAATGCAACCTAAGGCTGTTTCCAGTGTGTTTCTACTTGCCACTCTCCCTCTCCAAAGTCTGTATGTTTTTGAGTTAGCCTTCTAGAGGGACATGAAACACCACAGGCAATCATAATTTTATGTTAATGAAGCTATTTGTCAGTGAATTAAAATTCAGAAGTGAAGTTTTATGTTAATTAAATATGAAGAATTACCAAAAAGCGCAACAGGCCTTGTTATTTTTATATTAAGTTTCATTTATTTGACACTGCACCTTCAGGATTATGTAGATTTTCTGCATTAACAATAAAATCTAAACACCAAGAATGAATGAAAAGCATGTTCTGATTGGTTAACCATGGAAAGCTAAAATCCTGTAGTTTAGCATTTGTCTACAAATCAAGTAATTGACTAAATTTTCAGGTTATGGTCTCATAGTCTCAAGTAGCTGGAAATGAAATACTTGCTGCTGTAAGTATTTAAATGCATTCCTGTGATCTAATTGCTTTTGCTTTAAATGATCATGCCCGTTCCTCATTTAGCATGCTTAATGCATCCACTTAGAGTTACATGATTCATTTTGTCCTCGCTTTAGGGTAAACTAAAATATTGTTGCACTCTGAAACAGGAAGTTAGGGCCAAGGATGTGTAATTTATTTCAAACTCAAGTAAATGCTATTTAGGTTAATGCCCAGCTGGTTTGAAATAGGTCGCAGAAGGCACCAACTAGGACTGGTCTAGACATATCAAGGATGAGGGGGTCATTAAGAGCAGCCAACATGGTTTTACCAAGGGGAAGTCATGTTTGACCAACCTTATAGCTTTCTATGAGGAAGTAACTAGGTGGCTGGATGATGGTAGAGCGGTAGGTGTGGTTTTTCTTGATTTCAGTAAGGCATTTGATACTGTCTCTCACAGCATCCTTATAGATAAGCTAAGGAAGTGTGGGCTTGATGATCAGGTAGTGAGGTGGATCAAGAACTGGTTGAAAGGAAGAAGGCAAAGAGTTGTGGTTAATGGGGCAGAATCTAGCTGGAGGTCTGTGACTAGCGGAGTCCCTCAGGGGTCGGTGCTGGGACCAGTGCTGTTTAATATTTTCATCAACGACCTGGATGAGGGAACTGAGTGTACCCTCAGCAAGTTTGCCGATGATACTAAACTGGGAGGAGTGGCTGACACGCCAGAAGGCTGTGTTGCCATTCAGCGAGACCTGGACAGGCTGGAGAGTTGGGTGGGGAGAAACTTGATGAAATTCAACAAGGGCAAGTGTAGAGTCTTGCATCTGGGGAAGAACAACCCCATGTACCAGTACAGGTTGGGGGTTGACCTGCTGGACAGTAGTGAAGGGGAAAGGGACCTGGAGGTCCTGGTGGATAGGAGGATGACCATGAGCCAGCAATGTGCCCTTGTGGCCAAGAAGGCCAATGGCATCCTAGGGTGCATTAGAAAGGGTGTGGTTAGTAGGTCAAGAGAGGTTCTCCTCCCCTTCTACTCTGCCTTGGTGAGGCCGCATCTGGAATATTGTGTCCAGTTCTGGGCCCCTCAGTTCAAGAAGGACAGGGAATTGCTTGGAAGAGTCCAGCGCAGAGCCACAAAGATGATTAAGGGAGTGCAACATCTCTCTTATGAGGAGAGGCTGAGGGAGCTGGGTCTCTTTAGCTTGGAGAAGAGGAGACTGAGGGGTGACCTCATCAATGTTTACAAATATGTAAAGGGTGAGTGTCAGGACGATGGAGCTAGGTTTTTTTCAGTGATGTCCAGTGATAGGACAAGGGGCAATGGGTGTAAACTGCAGCATAGGAGGTTCCATGTGAACATCAGGAAAAATTTCTTTACTGTGAGAGTGACAGAGCACTGGAACAGGTTGCCCAGGGGGGTTGTGGAGTCTCCTACATTGGAGATATTCAAGGCCCGCCTGGACAAGTTCCTGTGTGAGGTACTCTAGGTTACCCTGCTCTTGCAGGGGGGTTGGACTAGATGATCTTTTGAGGTCCCTTCCAACCCTTGGGATTCTGTGATTCTGTGAAAATACAAGTGCCGCCTCCTGTTGCCACTGGCTGTTCCCTATATTTGTGTAAATATTCTTCAGTATACAGCAGACAGTGAGTGTGTGCACTGGGTTGTGTATTCCACTTGGGCTGTGCTTTTTTGCACACTGATACTTATCCAGTTGTTTTAATTTATTTTCTTCACAGAAAATGTATATGCCATGACTGAAGACTTTCTCTTATCTCATCTGCCTATTAAAGAGAAGGGTGGGGGAAAGGAATAATGCTTGATGTCTGCTACTGGCTAGCAAAATGTGTGTAAATGCATGCGTTTTGACTTTGTGTGTGGACAGATGGTAGGTTAAGGCAAACCTAAAGATATTTGCTCCCATGATGATTTTGCAAAGCAGCATAGCAGATTGTCAATTTGTACACTGTTCTAACGGGATAAGTTTTTTGACTGCTGGGTTGTTGCATGGCACTAAAACTACGTGAATTGTAGCTCAGTGCTGTATCCTGGTGAATCAATGTTTGCAAGTATCTGCATTCATAGAGACTGGATTCCTGAGTGACTCTGCCTGTGAAGGATAATAATTTCTGGCATCTTAATCTCCCTTCTCTTCATGCAGATGTCTAAAAATAAAGGCCATGGTTTGATTTAATTTTGTGACGTACAGCATGCAGCTTTGAACTTGCCTGAGCTCTGTGACTCCATTCGGCCACCTCCTTCCCCCTAGCTCACAAGGAAGATAACTTTCCCTGTTCGGTTCCATGTTTGTCCCTCTAACACTGCTCTCCAGCACTGTGTGCTGAAGTGCCTTCTATTTGTCCTTTGCAGCTTCCTTTTGCCAAAATACAAACAGGTTGCTATCTGCTCTAAGAAACAGCTTGATATGCACTTCTGCAGTGAGTCTGGGAAACATTAAAAAGACAGCAGATGAAGCACTCCTTGAAACTGAGAAGCCCTTACACCCACCTTCACGGGATTAACTCAGCATATTAATTTGAAATTTCAACCTCACTGCTGACACCCTATATTGTGTCAACTTTTGGGTTTGGAATTTAGCCTTGGATCATACTATTTATATTTATATTCAAATTCAGTTATATTTATAATCAAAGCAGGGAAATAAAGTTATTTTATAAGAAAACTTATACCAAATTCCTGGGAAGGAAGGGATTATATTAGTAAGCAGTTCGCAAGCCTCCGTTTTTTGATTATGAGTAAGAAAGCAATAAGAACAGCAGCTGACTTGCTGATCTCTGTCTTCACTTGAAAGTCAGAGCTCAGGCATTCATTTAGAGAAATGAATACTTTTTTTCACTGGAGCCTGTACAGGTCTTCTGACAGTCATTGTTAATATTGATAACTCTGTGGGCCAGAAAATATTACTAGTTCAAGAATGAATCAAGGCTGATACTGCTTTGAAAGGAGTTAGTGGAAGTTTAACTATTGCTTGTAAAAGGAGGAAGACTAGACCAAAAGAGATTTATAATTCAAATGTGTTTAATAGTTGTGTATCTGTATGATACAGATCTATTCATACTATTTTGAGTATATCTAAAACATACAGTCTCTCTTATTTTCTAGGACACTGTCTTGGTTTTAGTCTCTCAATAAGTAGTTGCTATTTATAGAGCAGATCAAGAGAGGTGGCTTGCAGATGTCAAAAAGATGCATGTTTCCTCACATATAAGTGTTTTCTTGCTTTAACTTTATGCAAATACTTTATTGTTAATGCTTTCTAGAAGGCCACAGGAGCTATACAGACTTCATTTTTTTTCCTGTATGATTAATACCAGCCATTTGGTTTTTGCTTTCATTTGTAAGTACTTCAAACTCTGCCGTAGAAAGGAGAAATGGGTTATGTGTATTTAAATGTACACATGAAGATTAAAAGGACTGCAATCCTCATTTTTGTTAGTCACCTACATCAATATAATGAATCTCTAACATGAAATATCTGTTTACAAAGTGCTAGTACCAGCACTTGTTTCATTTTTCATTTTGGAAAACATTTAATTTCCAACTTAAGTTTTCACTATGTATTTTTTAAATATCCTGTATTATAAACACTCCTTCTGTGTCTCAAGACGTTTGGTAATTTACTGCTTTTGATTCAGTAAAATTCTTACGGACAGTTATACTATTGACATTTTGGCAAAATAAAGTGGGATTAAACAAAACAAAACAAAACAACCCCCAAAAATGATGAGTAGTGTTACTATCATCCTGGTCATAAAATTGTCTTCAAATCCTTGTTCCTGTTAACTGTATTCTGCATGCTAACATTCTTGTATGTTTTATTATGTATAAATTCACTATCAGTCAGAAGTCCTTTGTAGCTGCAGAAGAAATCTAACTATTCCCTTTTAATAGGAGGCTAATAATAAAATGGTAAATGCATAAAGCAAAGTATTTAGGGCATGTAGATACGTCGAACAAGTGTTCTAGATACTGTGTTAGTATAGAAAAGAAAAACACCATGACTACTGAAATACTTATATTTAAACTGTGAGCCCTTTTATAGAGCAACAGCAACTCCCCCCCCCTTTCTCAACCTTCGAATGACCTCACCACAGTGCCTTAAAGATGAGACAATAATGAAAGTATCCTTTGTTTACAGTATCCCATAGAACAAATAGGTTTTAGTAGTGGCTCCTGTATTTGTGCTATGAAAAATTTCTCAGAAAAAATAATTTCAGCGTTTTTATTGTACCTTCTGTCTTGGACTGTAAAGGTGGGAGGGCTTTCTTAGTTTTTATTTTCCTGTTAAACACATGTAGTGTAAAGAGTCAAAGCAAAATCTTTAATCATTAACAGGCCAAAGAACTGTTAAAGAGTAAAAAAAGTCAGTGAATACAATTTAATAAAAGCTATACTATCCAATTAAATCATACAGTACTATGCATTTATACTATTGTATTAGCCATAAAAATCTAAACCAGTTTATAATATCATACAGTTATGTAGGTACTTACCATTTTAAAAGCAGCATCGAGTGGAATCGATGGAAAGTCCCCAAGGTGTAATCAATAATTGATTAAAATGATGAGCCTTTATGGTATTCTTTTGAAGTGCACAATCTGAAATTAAAGGAAATTTACTGACAGTTGTATATTTTGTTGAAAGAAGGATTCCTCAGACATACATATATTAACAACGAAATCGATGTCGCCTTCTACAGAGTACAAGGAAAGTGATTTATTTTGAAAATGTCTTTCAGCTGGGTAACTAGGTAACTTACACTGTGTTGTAGATAGAGTTTGGATTCCATTTTGTGAAGCAGGATTCCAGTGTAATGAGTGAAGGAAACAGATGGAGTAAGATGACTGATGGGTACCAAAAAATCAGTCACCATTTTCAGTACCTGTACATTAACCGCCATAAATCAATTTATTTTCATTTACTGAAACAGAAAATTATAGATTATTCAGCCAAAGCATTACAGAACCCAAACCCACTCTATGTTAAAAGCATATTTATAGTGATTACCAGGCGTTCTAGATGTGTTACATCTGAGAGTAAAATCTTCTGCAGGCAAGAAGCTCACTCTCCGTTCAGTCATTTCATTCTGTTAGGGAGATTGAAGCATCTCTATTATTCTGGAGGGGGGAACATTAGCTGGTTATTCTGCCATATTTGACAGCTGTAAAGCTCTCCTAGTAAAGCTCTCCTTGTAAACCAGAGGTGAGCTATTGAAGTGATGCACTGAGTGTTAGGGTCTTGCTCCACCATAAAGGCTTCAAGCAGCCTGGGAAGGAGCTGAAACTGGAAAGCCTAAATTAAAGGCTGAGTGCAGAAAGCCACTATCTCTCCTGCAGCAGCCTTGAATTGCAAGGCACGAATAGTGGATTAGAAAATGAAAACAAATTTACTATTTATATACCAGAAGTCCTTATCTGCTGCATGGCACAGCTGCTCTGTCACATACTTGACCCTGACTTAATTTGGTCATCCCTGTGGTTAAATAGGAAGTTCAGCTCTGAGCCAAATAATTTCCTAACACCCCTCACCAGTAACTGCCCACTTGTTGCTGACTTTTATATGAACACCTGCCCATAAGAAATTGGATTATGCCCATCCAGACAATTTACATCTATTTTAGGATGTCTTGCAATTAGGAAACTTTCAGAATTGTACAATACAAATAGAAATCACACTAGTATACAGAATATTTGAGAAATGAAGAAATATAAGTCAGAATATGGAACTGCTCTTATTCTTGTTGAGTTTATATCAGGAAGTTTTCTTGCATAGAGGCCTTGCATAGTACAGCAAAGCAAAAGTATGAAAAAGACTGTAACTCAAATATCTTAGAATTGGCTGTAAGATTTTTATCCCAATTGCTTTTAAATTTTACTATGAATACTTTGGATAAAAAAAAAATTGTCTTAATTTTTTCAAAATAATTTTCTAATTAAACAATACTAAATTTTAGGGTTAGGCTCAGTACTTTTGTAATGAACCTTAAATCAAATCTGGTGTTTGTTTTCAGATGCAGAAACATCAATGAAACTGCCACTTCCCCGCCCCCCCCCCCCCCCCCCCCCCGGGACTTCTTACAAAATTCCCTAGCTCCATAGTCATTAACTTCTTCCTCTCCCCCACCAGTCGTTTCTTTTCCACCTTGAGTTTGGAATAAAATAGATATGAAATGTTTCCTGTAAGCAGGTCAGAGATAAACTATACAACTTTCTTAAGCCATCTATCTGAAAAAGAGAGTTTAAAATCTTAAACAGGGTCAAAACAGTGAGGAACTCTTTCTAATTTTTGTACCTAAAAGATAGAAAGGAATTATAACAACCATTTTGAAAGCATAAAATTGCTGTGGAATTCAAACTAAGACAGGAATTTACTATCTGTTACTACATTTCTTTTGAAAACAAACAAGATTGCAACACATAAAGCAGCCACTCTTAAATCCCTGTTAAAAGTAATGCCCACTAATAAGTCTTCCCTAATTGGTAAAATTTAATCCTGTTGAAACCTGGCAGCATGTAGTGTCAGGAACATCTTGACAGTAGTACAGAAGAGCATGTCATGGTTTAAGCCCAGCCAGTAACTCAGAACCACATAGCCGCTTGCTCACTCCCTCTCCTTCCTCCCCCCAAGTCCAGGAGGGATGAGGAGAATTGGAATAATGTAACTCCCACGGGTTGAGATAAGAGCAGTCCAGTAACTAAGGTATAACACAAACCACTGCTGCTACCACCAATAATAATGATGATAAAGGAAATAACAAGGGAAGAGAATACAACCGCTCACCACCCTCCGACCGATACCCAGCCCAACCCAAGCAGTGATCTCCCCCTTCTGGGTAACTGCCCCCAGTTTATATACCGGTCATGACATGCTGTGTTATGGAATACCCCTTTGGCTAGTTTGGGTCAGGTGTCCTGTCTCTGCTTCCTCCTGGCTTCCCCTCCTCCCTGGCAGAGCATGAGACTCAGACAGTCCTTGGTTAGAGTAAACATTACTGAGCAACAACTAAAAACATTGGTGTTATCAGTGCTGTTCCCAGGCTGAAAGTCAGAACCTCAGCACTGCACCAGCTACTAAGGAGAAAAATGACTGCTACTGCTGAACCCAGTACAGAGCAGTATAATTATTTTGATCTATATAAGTTAGACTTGAAGAGAAGATGGTCCAAGGAAAGGGGAAAGGCCATGCTGCTGTCAATATTTATCAGCATCAAGTCCAACTGATGTGCAGCTTCATTTATAAGTTTGATCTGTATTCAGCCCAGGCTAAGATTGCCCTTTTTCAGACTGCTTGATCACTTTTAATTCCCTAGAGGAATGCTTTTAGAAAAGAGAGCAATCTTGTACGAGGCTCTTGCTGATCACCAAATCTGGGGCTTCTTGCCCTGTTGTGGAGAGAAAAAGTACATGCATGCACTGCAGAGAAGAGGGTTCTTTGTTTAAAAAATTTCCTGGCAGTTTTCAGCTATTATGTACTGAAGACTGTTACCCAAGTGCTAAGGCTAGTCTAAGTTGAAGCAAAGAGGAAAATCATTCAGAAGTGGTCAGGACTCAAGTGCATGGTCTTGTTTCTACCCACTACAAAAGATGGTGTGCTAGTTTAAATGCTTCCTGGAGCTATCATCACTGTGGTTTTGGTTCCACTATTCTCCTTGGAGAGAGAGTCCATACATATTATCTTATTAAACTGATATGACTGTGAAACAGCTGTGGGGAATACATGTCAAAGAAAAGGTCACAATCTTCTGTGCAAGTAGGAATAAATGCACAGTATATTCGCTGCTTTTGGAGTATCTGCTAAGAGCTGATTATGCAACACGATTCCTATACAGGAAATTACTCTTACCAAGGGATTGTTTCTCTCTGTATTTTTGTCAGTCAGACAATTGTTTGCAAATGAGTTGAGCTTCATCATCTAAGCTGCAAGTTGAAACACGTGTATTCTGTTCTTCAGGTATATGCATATGAGACATATGAATTAGTCTAATGGATTAGTTGCTAATATCAACCATACAACAGATTCCATTCTGTATATGAAATTGGAATCCTAAATTTAAGCTATAGCTATAATTATTTCAGAAAACAAAAAACCTTTCAAATGAATTATTTCAGTTTGGTTTCATTTCAACAATGCAAATTACTACAGATGAGAGAGTGGATTATGGAGACAATAGTATAACCTGTGTAACTGGCAAAAGAACATGCTAGGAAGAGTTTGGGAGGCCTGGAGTTCAGAATCCCCACTTCAACTTTGTGTGCCTCCATACAGGTGTGACTGGCTACTGGAAGATCGCTGTGGGCATTTCAGCCATTCTCCAGAACTATGTTAGCCAGTAGTCAGAAAGCCTTAATACTTTTACTGGTAGAAAGTAATTCCAGCACACTAGGTGTTGTGGTACCAGCACCAACCAACCTCCCCACCCCCCTCCCCTTATTATTCTTATTTTCACCACAGATGAATTTAGTCTGTAAGTAACATTATTTTCACCCCATGTGTGTCCTTGCACAAAAATGTTACTACTGAATTGTTCTGAATATGTCTCTGCTTAATTTTGGAGCTCAAAATAGTGATTAGTAAGAACCTTGGGCTCTGTCTTGCTGTTTCACTGTTAAGTAGTGCATTAAAGAAGAAACTTAAAGCTCACTGTAACTGGCGGTTGTTAGCACCATTTCTGCTTGTATCTCGGGATTCTTACCTACTATTCTTAGTTACTTATTCTACAATATTTAAAAAAAAAAAAAAAATGGAAGGGCCCTGGACAAGCACTGACACTGATTGTTCTTACAGAAGTTGCAATCTCTTTTTTATGAAGGGGAAGACAGAAGTATAAAGGCTTGAGGCAGGTTTTAACATTTTTAAACCATGGCTAAAGCCAGTTTAGATCAGTTGGTAAAGGCTTAAGTGATTGTAAGGGAGGTGGTTAGGATCATACAATGAGAAACAGAAACAGCAAATAATATGAAGAAGAAAAGACTGAATGAAGGTATGAAGGAGCTTAAAGACTGGAGATACACCATTAAAAAACATCTTATAATCACAAAAGTGATTATTTAGAAATAAAACTTGAAGAAATATGATAGCAAAAAAAAAAATAGAGGAACACAGAGCAAGAAAATAGGGAAAGTGCAAGTGTAAAAGTGCTGGGACTAAGAAAGAGAAAGGTGTTACCTTTAGAAAACCTGTGTTATCTTCAGAAAACCTATCTGTCAATATTTTGTCCAGACTGACTCCATGGTCCCCCACACCTCAGATATCCTGTTGACTTGAAGCTTCTTTCCCAAGCAAACCAGCTAGATGCCTTCAGGAGAAATTGTGGTAAAATCAATAAAATTGTATGGTTTAAATTGCCATATGAGATGCAGAGGGTTTTGGTCCATGTATCTATGCAGTAAGAATATGGGAAATGTATTCCTGTGAGGTCTGAGCACTGTGGCTATGAGCTGCTGCTCACTAACTGACCTAGAAACTGAATGCTGTTTTTTTTCCACCGCCCCCAAAGAGAGTATTTATGTGGCTTTAAGTTCTTCTAGCAGTGAGTTTGTTACTGCAGAATGCAACAAACAATGCACAGAAGTCTCAAAAATGTTTAGGTATGAACATG